CTTTGGAGACCAGGCTGGCCTCGAACTCACAGAGATCCGCCTGCCTCTGCCTCCCGAGTGCTGGGATTAAAGGCGTGCGCCACCACCGCCCGGCAATTCTTTGTAGTTTTGGTTGGGTTTTGTTGGTTTTGCCTAAGCTGTTCACCACCCAGCTCCCCTCGCCTTTCCTTCCCTCCATCTCTGGCCCTTGTGATTACATTTAGTTGTCAGAAACTTTTTATAGTGAGCACTCTATCCCATTGAGGATGTTGATCCTAGGGAGGCGGGGCCTGGAAGGTGATCAGAATTACAAGTCCTGAGGGTGGGTCACCCAGGAGGTGAATGGTAGGTTTTATGAGAAGAGGAGAAAGTTGCTGCTCTCTGCTGTGTGTGTGATCTGGCACAAGGCCTTCACCAGATGCCAGTACCAGAACCCTGAAAGAGAAATTTCTCTATAAAATACCTAGTTTGTGGTATTCTGTGGTAGCAATAGAAAATAGACCAAGGTGTACATTAAGACTACTATTAAAGCTCATATTTAAATCTATAATTGTTTAAAATACTAGAATGTTTTTCGTTTCACTTGGTGTTGGGGATGGAGCACATGGGAGCCATGTCTGAAGACAAGAGCCTGATCTCTCCTGCCGCCATGTGGGTCCCAGCTAGCCAACACAGGCCATCAGGCTTGGCAGCAGTGCCTGTAAGCCACTTAAAGCCGTTTTAGCAGCCCATCTTTCTAATTTTAGAGGAAAAAATCCTATCTTTTGATTTTAAAGAATTCTTATAAAAATTAATGTTGAAAGTGACATATGTCTATAATCCCAACTACTAAGGAGACTGAGGCAGGAGGATTGCAAGTTCGGGACCAGCCTGGGCAATTTAACAAGTTCCTATTTGAAATTCAAGTTTCCTTTTAAAAGGGCCTAAGAAGGTAGCTTTATGGTAGAATGCTTGTTTAGTGTGTAGAAGGCTGAAATTTACTCCCTAGGTTGGGGGAAGGAGGCAAGGAGTGAGTAAGTGAGAGGGGTAAGTTAGTTGAATATTATTTATCGTCTGCCAACACTTTTTAAAGATGTATTTTAATTTTATGTGTATGACTATTTGCCTGTATATATATATATATATATATATATATATATATATATATATATGGATACTATGCATGCAGTGCCTCTGGGGACCAGAAGAGGGAATCGGGTCCCTTGGAACTGGTGTTGGAGCTGGTTGTGAGCTGCCATGTGGGTGTTAGGAACCAACCCAGGTCCTCTGCAAGAGCAGCTGGTGCTCTTAACTGCTGAGCCATCTCTCCAGCCCCTCAGAATAATCTTATATTTCAAAAATGTTTTTATGTCCAAGTGTTGAACTATCTCCTTACTAGTCCTAATTCTCTGCCCTTGTGAGGTGGCTCCTAAGTGATTCTGAGACATTTCCCTTTTCTTTCTGGAAGATATTAATTAGGATTTCTTAAACTATTAAGTAAGACAAACCTACCATTTGTTCTCTCTCCCTCTCTCTCTCTCTCTCTCTCTCTCTCTCTCTCTCTCTCTCTCTGTGTGTGTGTGTGTGTGTGTGTGTGTGTGTGTGTGTGTGTGTGTCTATGTGTATTGTCAGCAGGTACAGTTGAATATATACCACCTAGACTAGAAAACACCACACTAAGTGCTAGATGGCAGAATATCCCAAAACCCATCAAACACAAACAATCAGAAACCCTAAGCGTTGTCACCTCCCCTCTTCCTGGAGTCTTCTGGGCTCCCCTGTGAGTTTTTATTATCTCCTCCACTGTACCCCCCACTAGTCGATCTAGGGCAGGCTCCTCAGTGACGCCCCTCTTTGGGGAAACTGACCTTGTGGCCTCTTCCCAGCGCTTTGCGGACAGTGGCTTTGCTGTGTACCTGTCCTGGTCCTGAGGACAACCTCTTCCAAGTGCCCCGAAGTGATAGCTCTCTGCTTATGTCTCCATGTTTTCCTTTAGTGTGTCACTCACCATAGCAAATAATTACCCTAGCTTTGTCCTATTATCTAATTGCCTCCTGTGTCATTACGTGTGTCTCCCGGGTCTGGCATCCCTGTAGGGACAGGGTGGAAGGAGGCTTCAGGTCTGTTTATTTATTTAACACAAGCTGCTCTACAGTGCTAAGTATGTGGCAAACATTCAGAAATTCTCTCTGAGTGAGCAGGTGGGAAATCAGTGATTTTCACCTTATTCTCTGGCAAAACCTAAACTCTGGCCAGGGGTGCATTTGATTAGTTTTAGTGAACTTTTGTAACTCATTAGGAGAAAGAAACAAAAGGGTTCCCACAAGGGGCCAATCTTACCTTCCAGGCTGTCTAATTCAGCCATCCATCCTCTTCCATTCAATGCTTAGGTAACCATTCAGTGGCTCCCGGGTGCTGAGTATGGAGGCTTCAGGGATGGACGGGGTAAGTGCCTTCCCTGGTTTCCTGGTGTTCCCAGTCCGGCATTATTAAGCAAATAAACTAACAAATAGCTGTATAATTACAAATTGTGCTAAGAACCATAAAGGAGAGAGAATGATGTAGATGATTACAGTTAGCTTACGAGTGGAGCAGACCTCTTCAGATGAGGAAGTGACCGTCTAAGCTGAGAATCTAACAGCAGGCCACCAGTCAAGCAGAGAAGGCAGTTAGAGGAAGCAGTGTGTGTGCAAAGGTCCTGAGGCACGGGATTGTTTTGTTCCCTTGAAAAGCAACCAAAAGCCAGTATGTGCCGGGAGCATGGTGAGTCAGGGTGGAGGGCTGTGGGGGGAGCCACGTCCTAATGGGAAAGGTCTTATGGCCCAGGCTTGGGCAATTGGGTGCAGGAGACCAGGGTCTCATGTAGCCCAGCTGGGATTCACTGTGTAGCAAATTTGCCCTTGATTTCTTGATCCTTCATGCCACTCTATCCCAAGTGCTGAGATTCAAGGCATGTATCACCATACCCAGCTATGTAGATATTATTAATATTCTCACTTCCCAGTTGAGTGGTCAAGGCCCAGTGGTGACAGACAAGGACACAGGTGTCACTGGAATGTTCACGGAGGGACTAGGAAATACCCAGATCACCTTGAGCCTGCAGAGTCCACAGGCTGGCCACCACGGGGCCATATAACTATGTCTTTTGGACCTTCAGCGGCTGGTGGAGTTGGTCAGTATGGGAGCAGACAAACTGAGAGCATCTTTCCATAGTGCAGGTGAAAAGTCACAGCTGTGCACCTGGGCTGCTGTATCATTGCAGAGAAATGGACATTATAGGGTGACAGAGGGATGTGGAAATATTTGTACAAATAGATTTGATGTATTTAGTATGAAATGAAAGGCCTTGAAGGTACTTTTGTTTGTTTTTTGTTTTTTAAGACAGGGTTTTTCTGTATAGCTCTAGCTGCCCCAGAACTTCCTTTGTAGACCAGGCTGGCCTCAAGAAGGTACATTTTTTTTTTTTAACTGTAGATTTTAAAAAAGAAACAAAAAGTCCCGAGCTTTATCACAGCACAAAGAGAGACATAAAGACAGGATGAGACACAACATCACAAGGTAAGCTTTTTCATTTTAAGTAACACAGAAGAAATGACAAACAAGAAAGGAAATATTATTTAAAAGTTTGTCACTTCTCTAGGCCATTACCCATGACTCCTTGTAGCATTAGCTAACCAAGCTAAAACAGAGACAGTGACAGCATGAGATAATGGAACCAGTCAGCAATTTATTGCCATTAAGGCTGACAGGAGATCTTCTGCCCTCTGTGTGGCCTTCCCTTCCCTGCCTGCTGAAGTTTGATCGGTCTTCATGACCCTGCTCAAACCCCTGCCTAGGGTGGAAAAATAAAACCATCAGTATGAATATGTGGCAGGTTTGGTGCAAACTGGCAGTTGACAGCAGCCAGGGCCGGCCCTGATGTGTGTGGGTTTCTGCTCAGCCTTCTGAACAATGGGCTTCAGAAATGATTCCCACCACAGAAGACCCAGTTTTGAAAAGCAAATTTTGGTGCTTGAAGATATTTTTTAAAAAGTGTTGGTGGTGTTAGCACACACCTTTAATCCCAGCTCTCAGGAGGCAGAGACAGGAGAATCTCTGTGAGTTCAAGACCAGCCTGGTCCACAGAGTTCCAAGACAGCCAGGGCTATACAGAGAAACCATGTCTCAAAAAACAAAAACAACAAAGTGTCTAGAAACTTCTGTCATGGTGCTTCATCAACAAGGCAGTACAAAATTGAAAGGCAGCATCTATTAACAGTATGAAATGTTACCTTTAGACAAAAACTTCAAATGCAGCTGTTCTGTGACTACCTTGGAGTCTCTTGAGCAGGTGAATGGTCATGGCTAGAAGTTCATTGCCTTCAGGTTCTCATACTCTAATATGAAGTGACCGATTGAGAGTATCTGAGGAGTGCCTGGGCCTGGGCTAAGTGAATCCCTGAAAAGCTATGGGCTGGTCATTTCAGGGACTTCCTGAGGTTTCTGAGTTGTTTACATCCTGAATCTTAACAAAGCCTCTCAGAAATTTCCTGAGTCTTTAGAACTTTCTAAGTCTTAACAAGTGTCTAAGGAAATAACTGCACAATACAAGGGAGTCTCTGGCCCAGGAGCCATGCATGCATGGACAGTAGTGTGTTTGAGTATTGCAGGCAGTGGACCACACACAGCATCTGGCATGTATTCAGTACACAGCAAAGTCCATCCATTCCCATACCACCGTCACCCTCATTGCTGGGAGATGCCCAAGGATCTTGGTTGGAACCATGTCTGGTACCCAAGTACTCTTAGACTTTGTCAATGCAAGGGGAGCAACTGACTAAGGGAATAAACACATTTTGAGCACATGCCCATGCAGGCACCTTTAAAAGGTTCAGTGGAAGCACGGGTGACTGACCCTTGTCCAAATCAAGATGGGTCATCAGTACGAAATGGTACTGGTTGAAAAGTCAACCCAAGGGTTTCATTTTTCTAAATGCTACGTGAATGAAAGTGGAAGGAGCTGCAGAAATTGGAGGGAGAGGTCAGTTCTGTGGACTGGCAGGGAGAGCACATTTTGTGGTCATCTAGTCTACGATGGGGTTGAGAGCCTTAAAGTGCATTAGCCCTTTGTCCTCTGCAATGAAAATGGGAGAACAGCCCTCTCCCCAAGGCCCAGGATCTCTAGACACCACCATTCAGCTGCATGTTAGTAAATGTTCCACCAGCTTTCCAGGGAAAAAAAAGTTATGTGTAGGAACAAGTCTATAAACTTATTATAACTTTCCTAACTTAAAAGCTATGTAGCATACATTTCACAAGCAATAATAAAAACTCTGCTTCTCCACCTAGTAAATTCTGTGCAGACAGTTGACTCGGAGTGGGTGCTTTTGCTTATTTCTCTTGAGTTCTTTTAGCCATGGTTAGCTTATGCTGCAGTTTAGCCATGATCGCACTATTAGAATTTTCCCCCAAGTCCAGTAATCCTTCCCTAGTAAATGTATTGCCGTAGCCTGGTGTGCAGCATAAGACTGTAATCCCAACACTTGGAAGGCTGAGGCAGGAAGATCTTGTTTGTGACTAGCCTGGAATGCAGTAAGACCCTGTCTCAAAAAAACAGACCCGAGTAGGGACTGGGGACATGGCTCAGTCAGCAGTGTCATAAGGACATAAGTTCTAGCCTCAGAAACCAGGCAACAAAGTTGAATGTAGTGGTGTTTTTGTTTGTTTGTTTGTTTGTTTGTAATCCCAGTAGTGGAGAGGTAGAGAGACTGGTCACTGTTCAGCCTAGGGCTCACTAGCCAGCCAGCCTAGCCTACTAGGTGAGTTCCAGGTCAGTGAAAGACTCTATCCCCAAAACAAAAACAAAAGTACCAAGTTGTTACCAGGGTGTCCTCTGATCTCAGCATGTGTGCACGCATTCGTGAGTGCACACACAAACACCCGTGACTGGAGATGTAGCTTTGTAATGAAGCACTGGCCTAGCAAGTTCGCTCCCCTGTACTGTCCACAAAGAAGTACAATAGCTAACCCCCTTGTTTCTCACCTTGACTTCTGATACTCCTACACACAAACACACACACACACACACACACACACACACACACACACACACACACACACACGGAGGACAGGAAGCACTTCATATTTTCAGCTTCATATTTTAGCTGGTTTTACTGACTTCATAAGCATTTGGTGTTTGAGAGGTGGTACAAGCTAGCTTCAACACCATGCCTTCATCCCCAGGGAAAGTAAAAATCTTAGGTTAGCTGCCCACTTTTTCTCACCGTGCCCTCCTAAACACACAGGCTTAATTAACAGAGGGGAAGGGGTGCTGATGAGGGGGAGGGTGTTGATGCGATTATAATGTGGTCTCTTTGCTCACCCTAATTGTGATATTCAATGAATTCTGTAGTAACTGTATATTTCACATTTATTTCCCTTATACCAAGAAGAAAGAGAGACAGACAGACAGACAGATTTTGGTTGTGTATAGCTCTAGCAGAGAACATTAAGGAGAAACCCCTGGGGCAACCATCAAATGAGTTGCCCTAACGTAACTCCCTCCTGACCCCTGACCTCACCTCCTCAGAGACACCCAAACCTGCCTGGCAGGTTTGGATGAACTGTCTACCTTCCCCCCTCCCCCTCCCCCCTTGCCACTAACACAAAGGACCACAATTCCTCGCTGCAAATGGGCCAAACTTATCAGCAAAACAAATGTTTATTGAGAAATTTGACCAGTACAAGCTCCTCCTGGCTCCAACCTCCTCCGCCTTAGTTTCTTTCATTTAAGCAATATCCCTTTCCCACAGATGTGGAGGGGAGCCGCCGTCTGCCCTGTTCCAGGGATGACTCACAGTCGACTGTGCTTATACTAGCTGATAAGTAGTCGACTGCCCAAATGCCCAGCCAGTAGCCCCACCCCACCCCCAGCCTGTGCAGAGCCCTTCCCCAGCAGGCAAAGGCCTGGCATTTGACAGGCTGGTCGCTATTGTTACCCAGGTTTAATGTTCACACCTGCCCCTTGCTCTCATCTTCAGGGTCATGGGCTTCAGCCACCGACTACCCTTCGCGGCCCAGCCCCCATCTGCAGTCCCTGCCAGAAGTCTCCAGTCTTTTTCGTGGCTGTGAGATCTGTGTTGTCTCCAGGAGAGAAGAACTCAATGGCTTAGAATCAGCCCAAGGTCTCTAAAGTCCCAAGCTCTCCTCTGGCATGTCTGCCCCTCGTTTCCAGCCCTCCCATGCCTGGGTGGGTCCCCTCCTGTCTCCCCATATCCCAGTTCCTTTAAACAGGTCCCGGGTGCTTTTACCAGCCCTGGCAGGCACACCTGTCCCCTTGTTAAAGTCTTGCCAGGTGTGACAAACTCACCCTCGCCCAGCTGAGACTCGGCCATTTGGGACTTTTCCTCATCTTCTATTGTTTCCAACTTTAACCGTCATTCCGACTCAGCAGTCATTGGAAATTCCCAGCCTTCCCTGCTCTGGCAGCAGCCCGGGTCCTCGGAGAAGCAGAGGTACTAGCTTATGTCAGGGTCACCTATGCTCACCGAAGTAACAGGGGTGGGACCCCTTTCTCCAAAGGAATAAGCTCTTCAGAGGGGCTGCCTTGTCATGATATCCGTCTGTAGCTTCATAATCAACTCACTTTTTCAGTTATCACGGAATCTTGCCTACTTTGCTTCGGGTTGTGAAATTACTACCGTAGCTGAGTAATGATTAAATCATGGGATTTTTTTTTCTTGTTTTTTTTTCCCTCATTTTCTTTCTTGCTCACTTCTATAAAATATTGCTTACAGATGTTTGAGAATTTATATTAAAAGTGAATTCCAATAAAAGGCCTGTTAGTTCAGTGATTTAGCCTGATTCCTTAACCCCTTTTAAAAAATACCATGTGTGCTTGGGAGGGGGGTGTTTTTTTTCCTGTTGTCATTTCCTGAGATAAACGTGTTGGGAAACGAAGAGCGTCTGAACAGACGTAAATATCACTTTATGTAACTGGCGGTGAAAGCCGAGTTCGGAGAGCTGTAGTGGAGTACAGTCAGACTCGCATTGAAAGAGATTTATGATCATGGGGTCCCATGCTCTGTCTCCCACGGGTACTGTTAGTGACTGTTAACCCCTTCGACTCTGAGTTGCCTTGTACAGTCGGTGGAGGTGGATGGGAGAGAAAGGCAGAATGTTGGGGCTTGTTCTGTCACCCAGAAACTACAAACACAAACTGGTCTCTGGACCTATGGAATTAAAAGCAGGTTAACCAACAAAGAGCCACATTCCATCAGATGGATATATGCTTTATGTTATGTATGTATGTTTGTATGTATGTATGTGTGTATATGTGTACATCTGTATGTGGGTTTAAGCACATGGATATAGTGCCTGCAGAGGCCACAAAAAGGGCATTGGATCCCCTGAAATTGGAGTTACAGGTAATTAGGATCTGAACTTGGGTCTTCTGCAAGAGGAGCAAGCACTCTTCACCACTGAGCCAGCTCCCCAGCCCCAGATATATGTATTTTTAAAGATTTATTTTTATTGGTGCATGTGTGTGTGAGTACACGTGAAGGCTAGAAGAGGTCATCAGCTCTTCTGGAGCTGAAGTTGCAGACAATTGTGAGTTCCCTGGTCTGGGTGCTGGGAGCTGAACTCAGGTTCTCTGAGATAGCAGCAAGTGATCTTAAGAGCTGAGCCCTCTCTCTAACCCTAATCATGTGAACATTGTTGGGGGGGGGGAATAATCTTGGTTTATTTTACAAAGGAACACACAAATAAAACTAAAGTAATTCAGCAAGGCAATTTCTTCTTGTAAAAAGGATGTACCAGAACCTCAGCGGGGCTCGTGAACACACTTGTCCAAGTGTACTGGAACCTCAGCAGGGCTAGTGAACACACTTGTCAAAATGGCCTTTTATCGCTGCCATAGCTGGTGACTGACTCTCATCCCAGTGATGGGAGTTTGACTGACTTCACAGTGTGGCATGTAGCTGACTAATCAGTACACAGGGGAAAACTCAGGAAATGCAGGCCTTGGTTGGGTTGACTCCTTTGATAGAAACAAGTTTCTCACAGTTTTAAGTGTACTGATACCCCAGCAGACTTTCTTTTTTCTGTGTCTATTATCTAGATTTTCCAGACTGTCTTTTTATTTTATTTGTGTGTGTGTGTTCATGTGTGTGAGAGTATACATACATATGTACAAGTGCACATACACAAGTGAACATGTATGTATGGAAGCCAAAGGACAGCCTCATGTGTCCTTCATTCCTCAGATGCTACCCTCCTTTTTTTGGATACAGGGTCTCTCACGGGCCTACAATTCACCAAGTGGGCTGGGCTGGCTAGCCGGTGGACTTCAGGGACCTGTCCCTGCTTCCCAAGGGTGGGGTTACAAGTGCCCACCGCTATGCCCAGGGCAACTGCTCTTGGTTTATTTGCTTTAACACAGATTGTGGGTCCTCATTCCGGCCCTCATGCAAACAAGCATTTCACTGGCTGAGCTGGCTCCTCTGTCCCAGAGTGCCTTTCAAAAGGGGGAGAGTTGGGGCTGGAGAGATGGCTCAGTGGTCAAGAGCACTCACACTCTTGCAGAAGATCTGTGTGCAGTTCCCAGCACTGGCATAATGGCTCACAGCTGTCTGTGACCCCAGCTGCAAGGGATCCGCACCCTCTTCTAGCCTCCATGAGCACAGACAGACAGGCAGACAAAACACTCATACACCTAAAAATAACCTTTTTCTTTAAAAAGGGGCAGGCAGAATTAATAGTTCCAGCGGTTTAGACAGCCTTGTCGGGGCCTTTTTATCTGAGTGTACTTTCTGCCTGTACCTCTGAAAACCAGTTCCCACAACAGAAATTGCTTAGGCTGGCCCTGTGGTTTCACCGTGAGGAGGGCGTGGCTGCAGATGGTGATTGTTATGGCTGATTCTGGAAGATGCAACCTGGATGGAAGAGAACAAGTATGGTTTTAAAAATTAAAAGGTGTATTAAACTGAACCGTGTTTGGTGGTTTTAATACCCTCAAAGGGAGGGGGCGCCAGGGGAGGAGCCGCAGTCCTCAAGGACCAAGAGTAAAATACTTTTGGACTTCTAGGTCAAAGGCCAAATTCCTTCTGCAGGTGGGAACCGCTGCACCCCAGAGAAACACCAAGCTCCATTTCTTCAGTGGCCTTACCCATCTGAAGTTTTCCCGGAATCTCTTATTTTCAGTTCCCCACCCAAGGACTAATAATAATAATAATTTTTAAAATCCCCCACCATCCGAGTTACAAATTTTCCCATCTCTTATTTGAGTTTGCAATTTTCTTGGATAACAGATGGCCAGAAAAATGTGTAAGCCCAAATAAAAAGAAAGAACAGTCATGCTGCTTCCTCGCTGGTGTCGGCTGCCTTTGGAAAGTAAAATTATGGAAATGAAGCCTTTGGCTTGAAGAAGCATCAGGAATGAAGGAAAGGCCCAGCACTTGAGTGCTTTAGTGTGGACTGTGTGTAAGCTTGCTTTCCGCCTTCTTTCCTTCCTTCCTTCCTTCCTTCCTTCCTTCCTTCCTTCCTTCCTTCCTTCCTTCCTTCCTTCCTTCCTTCCTTTTTTTTAAAAGCCTTTAATGTTTTCCTTTAAAGAGAAAGGAGAGCAGAGGCATTGGGTAAGAATCATTTTACAAGTTTCTTCACCCGTGGCCAGCCCAGAGTCGGAGGGAATACCGGAGTTGGCAGAGCACTCAGAGGAGGTCGTTCCGATTGACAGGAAGAGGCATGGAAGGAAGAGAGCCAGACTCGGCCCCCAGCCCCTCTGCTTTGGCATCTTTCTTACCTCAAGGAGTTAAAAGTGTGGGGTTGGGCGTGATCAGCCAGATGGGTTTTAACAGTAACATGGTTCTTATTGTTTAGATTATCCTGCTGCAAGCACCGTGTCTCATTTACCTTTTATGGAATAAAGTGTGGAAAATTGACCACAGCTGTAAGTAACCAAGAATGATGGGGAAGCTGTTGTTACCAAGCCTCTCTCCTCCCCTCGCCAACACGCCCGATCCGCAGATAAAAATAAAGAGGACAGCATGGGGCAGGCTGGAAACCAGCTTCCTTCCGCCCTAACTCAGGCCCAAGCCTCTGTAGACCATGTTCTACAAGTGTGCCCCTCCAGGCTTGACTCGGGTGCGGGTATTGTCAGGTCTGGCTTCCAGCCAGGGCTTAAAGCATCATGCACCTGAGCGGTTTCCCCAGCTGCGTTTGAAAGATGGTGACATGGAACCCATCCTGCAGCCTTGCTTCCCCCAACAGAGACAAGGGGGGATGTGATGGGACCTAGACAGCACTGAGCATTTGATGCTGTCCTTGCTTCCATTGCTGGCACAGCTGCAGGATGGCGGATTAACCAGAGATGGGTCCTGCCTGGTCCCCAGAATGTGTTTCTGAGAGTTACAAAGAGCAGCATAGAACAGGACGTGTTGTGACAGGCCTGAGCTTTCCTTTACAAGGGCTCACTAGGATTATGGAGGCATAAATGCTTTTTCAAACCTCTGGGGAAAGTCAGAAAGTAGGCCTTATGTCGGCCTCTTGTTTCCTCACTCTTCCCTTCCTCCTCTGTCCTCCTTTGACCAGACCAGGCTGGGTTTGACATCCGGCCCTTCTCTGGGGCCTGAGCCACCTCTGCCTGTGCCTGTGCCTACAGTCAGGTGACTGAGTTCTGCTTCTGGTCTTCTGGAGGAAGCAAGGATCTGAATCACCCTCAAAAACAAGTGGACTATGGGCTTGTCTTCCTTCTGTGTGGGACCCACCTCAAAATGGAACCCCACTTTGGCCACATGTGGTTTCTGTCTTCTTCACCACCTCCACCCCTACTCCAACACACACACACACACACACACACACACACACACACACACACACACACACACACACACACAAGCACACACACACTAGCTGTGTGCCTGTGCGCCTCTTGCCAGGCCCATCTGCCTCTCTAACCATTTCCTCTCTTTGGAGTCCTGGCTCTGCTGCCAGACACCTCCTGACATGCTTAACCCACTCCTTGCATGCTTTTCTGGAAACCTGGGCTGTCTTCCAACACCTCACCTTTCCCGAGCTTTGGGCTGTTCCATATGTCCATCCAGATCACCCTTTCTCTGAAGCTTCTCCACCCCAGAAACTGAGGTGCTTGATGTACCCACACCTGACTTTTAGGAACCTTGGTGTTCTTGGCAGTCACCAAAGCCTTGGGTTCTTGGTCTCCATTGAGCGCTCACTCTCGCTGCCTGCTGAATTTGACAGCCTTCTTGCTCACCTGTCTACCCACCACTCAATTCCTCTACCTTCTCTGTGTCCCTGACTATAAGAGCCACTCAGCCAGTGACTTCATGCCCTTGTCTTAAGTGGATCACCCTATGTCTGAACATCTGCTTTCCCTGGCCACCACCCTCCATCTTATCCTTTCTTCTTTATCTTTCCTGTGCCGCCTTCTTTGGCCCCTAACTAATGATCCTCCATTCTCCAGAGCCTTGGTGTCCTCCCCATCCAACCCAGTTGACTGTTGATTATTCCAGTAGGTGACCCTGATTTCCCCCACTCCACCACCAATACCTTTTATGCTCTTACTGCAGGAACTGGGCAGTCCTGTTGTGGAATATTAACTTGAGATGTGTTACATTTGTTTATGCTGTGGAACATTT